CGTATTGAGAAGAGTTGGGTTTTGTGTAAGGGCGATATGAAAAATTGTTAAGATTGAAGGTGATGTCAAGGAAGTTGATGATTTTTTTGTTTGCTTCAATAGTTATGCGTAGTCCATTGTTGTTGAATATCCGGCATATTTCCTTTTTAATGTTCTCTGTTTCTCGTGGTGTGGTGTTTGAAATGGCAAGTCCGTCGTCTCGATAAAGTCCTATGTCTGTTGTGATGTTTTGTAGTTGAGAAAGGAGGTAGCTTCCTACGAGTTCGCATGTCTCAGCTCCGTCGAAGCTACCCATTGTGACGTCGAATGTAGAGTTATATTTCTTTGCCAGGGTTGTTTGTTGTGAATAAGGAATGAATTCTTAGCGTGTATAATGATGTTTTTCGGCGTTTGTGATGTTGTCGTAGGTTGAGGCAAAATCCAGTGCTTTGTTTAGTAGGTCTTGATTAATGGATGGGTAAAGTCTACGATGTCGAAGGATATGAAGGTGACGTTTTTTTTGTGTTTGATAGATTTGAACCACTGGATCACAGATGATGAGTTTTTCCATTGGTTGTATGAGGTTGTTTTTATGATGTTGCTGTTAATTCTGTCCAATATTTTCTTGCTAATTTTACCAACTTCAGATTTTGTTGGGTTGATAAGTCGGCAGGTTGGTTTATTCGTAAAGTTTGGTTTATGGTCTTTGAGTGTTATGAATGCGTTTTTATGGGCGGTGGCGTCTACTCTGTCAGATATACCAAGTCGTGATGTGATATTTTTGTCTTCGGTGTGGATGGCTTTTATTGTGTCGGCGTTTGATTTCTTGTATGATTTTGTGATGTTTTGTTCAAGGAGGTCGTAGTATGTTGGCTTGTCTAGTTTGTAGAAATTTGTTGTTTTGTCGGCAGCGATTAGAAGCTTCGTTTCGTGTTTCATGGTAGTGGTGTGGTCTTTCATTTTGTTAAGGAATGTGCTGTTCACGTCTTTAAACTTTATCGATTGTATCATTTTTGTCATGTCTTTCTCGAAATCTTTTAGGTCGTCGATCGGTGGAGGGTTTTTAGTACACTCCTATGTAATTTGTAACCATACACCGTAATTAATACTCTAACTTCCGTCATCTAACTTGAAATCATACACCTTGATTAATACACTAACTTCCGTCATCATCTTGTATATATATTTTAAGCATTTAAGTATTTTATTCATTAAATCCCCTGAAGAGTGAGCAATCACGAAACAGGCTTGTCGGGATGAAATTGTAGTTTTTGTGTATTTTTCTCAACACCACTACACATATATATATATATATATATATATATATATATAAAAGATAAAAGTTTCTCCGGATTTTGAATGATTTTTATTGAGCTTTCGACTCGTTTCTTCGAGCCTTCATCAGAATGAAAATATTAGCTCAATAAAATCATTCAAAAGGAGAAACTTTATCTTTATATATTCAATGCCTGGATTACAAATTTTCAAACTATATATATATATATATATATATTTTGAAAATTGGATATGATAAAGATGAGGATTCTCTGGATTTGTTTAAAATTTTTTTATTAAGCTTTCAACTCGGTGCTTCGAGCCTTCGTCAGAATGTGACAATATATTATTTACAAAGATTTTGTAGGCGTTTGGAGCGTCTGATTGGTTGGTTAGTAGTTGAGTTGATATTATTGGATGGTACAAGATGCGTTGTCATGGTTTCGGGTGTATCGATTACGTTAATGAAATTCGAGTGTTTTATTTTAGTCGTTGTGTTATTAGTTTGTTGTTTTGGTTTTGTTTTTAGTTGTGAATAGATGATGGGGATGTCAATATGTCTGTTAATTGTGTTGTTGTCTTTGCTGTACCATGCCTCTTTGAATTCTCGTGCATGTTTTGTATGTGCGCGTCCAAGAAGTTGTGTTTTTGTCCAGTCAAATGTGTGGTTGGTATCGTAGATATGTTCTGCTGGTAGTGATTTTGGGTCGCGTCGTTTGATGGCATTCTTGTGTTCAGTGAGTCTTGTTTTAATTTTCTTGGATGTTTGTCCTATGTACTGTTTGGGGCAATCTTTACATGGTATCATGTAGACCGCGTTGGTTGTGTCGAATGTCGTTGTTCGGTCTTTATGTTTAGTGAAGTATGATTTGAGTTTGTGTGTTGGTTTATGTGCGATGTTTATTTTGAATGGTCGGAGTAGTCTTGATGTCATTTCTGATGTTCCGTTTATATATGGTAATGTCACTATTTTTACTGGTTCGTCTGTATTTTCGTTAGGTTTTTCAGTTTGTGGTTTGTTGTGTATTTTGTTTAATACTTTGTTGATAAAGTTTCGTGGGTAATTGTTGTTTATGAATGTAGAGTATAAGTAGTTGCGTTCATTCTTCTTGGCTTCTTCTGTATTGCAGTGTGTTTTAATCCTGTTAAAGAGAGTTCGTATGCAACTAATTTTGTGTTGTGTTGGGTGATTGCTATTAAAGTTGAGTATTTGGTCTGTGTGTGTATTTTTGCGGAATACTTGTGTGTTTAATGTGCCGTCATGTGATCGGGTAAGTAGAATATCAAGGAAGGTAAGTTGTTTGTTCTGTTCTTTGTCCAAGGTGAAGGTTATGTTCTGTGTGGTGTTGTTTATTGTGTGTAGAATGTGTTCTGTTTTGTTTTTTTTGACGATAGCAAAGATGTCGTCAACAAATCTTCTCCATAGTCTGATGTGTGCGTTGTTGGTGACTGACTGCTTTTCAAGGTGTTGCATAACAGCTTCTGCAAGGAAAGTGGATAAAGGAGAGCCCATTGGTGTTCCTGAGATTTGTCGGTAATATGAATTTTGGAAGGAGAATTCAGTGGAGAGGCAGAGCTCGAGCAGGTCGATGATATCGTCTTGGTCTAGTTCGGTTGTGATTTTCCATGAGTTGTTGTTAGTAAGTAGTTCGTTCGTGACTTGTTTGGCTATGTTTAGTGGTATGGATGTGAAAAGTGACACTACATCGTAAGATATCATGATTTCGTCTGGTTTTAGTTTTACATTTTAAATATTGGTGAGGAAAGTTGTGGCATTTTTGATAGTATGATGTGATGATTTAACTAGTGGGTGCAGAATATAAGAAAGATATTTTGATAGTTCATACGTGGGAGATCCAGGAAGAGATACAATTGGTCGTAGCGGGTTGTTTTCTTTGTGAATCTTTGGTAGTCCATAGAATTTGGCGGTGGAGGAGTCGTTGGGTCGGATTCTTTTGTAGACGGTTTCGTTAAGTTTCTTTTTGTCTTTTAGTTGTTTTAATTTCTTGTTGATGCGGTTGGTAGTGGTTTTGTTGGGGTCTGTTTGTAGAGGTTCATACGTGTTGGTGTCTTGTAAGAGGGTCGTCGCTGTAGTGTTGTAGACACGCCCCTTAAATGTGACAAGGACATGTATATATATAGGAATGAGGAATGTTGTTGACAGACAGATATTAGAGAGCACAATAGATAGATACTAAAGGAAGAAGATAAATTCTAAACATTACATTGGCGACGAGGAATAAAATACCAACGCAAACATGGCAACATTTTTATCTCCCATGCCACATTTCAATCCGGATGAAGAAATCGGAGGAAACATTGCAAATAGATGGCGCACGTGGTTGGCAGATTTTAAAACATTTTTAACAGCCAGTAATATAACAAATAGAACTCGGCAACGGGCTTTACTTCTTTATCAAGCAGGACCCCGAATTCGAGAGATATTTCGACAATTTCCAGACCGGAGAAGATGATGATTTTGCTAAAGCGGAAATACTTCTTACGGAGTATTTTGAACCACAGAAAAATCAGTTATATGAAGTTTACAAATTTCGACAAGCAAAGCAAGTAGAGTCCGAAACAATCGACCAATTTCACAAGACTGCGCTCATTATCTAAAACTGTGAATTTGCTGATGCAGATTTTGAGATAATGGTTCAAATTGTTATTGGTGGACGATCCAGTCGTGTACGAAAACAAGCATTAAGAGATCCTAAATATACCTTAAAAGATCTGTTGCTTGAAGCAAGGCGTGAAGAAACAAGTAAAGTACAAGCGGCGGACATCGAAGAGCATTTGGACAGCCACGTTTTACATACACTAAAAAAACCTACAAATAAAAACTCCCAAGCCGATAAACCACAGAAGATATGCTTTTACTGTGGAGGTAACTACCCCCATTTAGACAAACCGTGCCCAGCGAAGAACAAAACATGCGCCAAATGCGGGAAGTTAAATCATTTTGCAAGCCAATGTCGCAGCCGAAACTTGCAGAAAATCAAAACACCCGCTAAACCACGCCAAGACATACGACCGGTAAAGGCTGATGAGGAGAAAGATAGCAGCAGCGACAATAATTCGGAATACTGTTATGCGGTTTGTAACAACAACAAGCCTAAACGTCCTGAAACGTCAATATCGCTCAACGGACTATATGTCAGAATGACAATTGACACTGGCTCAAGCATAAATATAATCGACAAGAAGACTTTCCGGAACTTTCGAAATACTGAGCTTGAACCCACATCCGTGAAAGCATACCCGTTTAACTCAAAAACGCCAGTCAAGATGGAAGGGAAGTTTCGTGTTCTTGCGGAGTCAAAACACAAGTTCACAGTTGCTACTATATATGTGACATCAGACGATGGCGGCTGTTTACTCAGCTCGGAAACAGCGCAAGAACTTGGACTTGTAAGCATAAACTTGAACAAAATTAACACATCGCCAGAAAACTCAACACTTACAACAAAGGATACAAAGCTCCATCACATTTTGGACAAACATGCACCTGTCTTTGACGGACTTGGGAAGTTAAAAAATAAACAAATTAGACTAGCAATTGATGACTCCGTGCTCCCGGTTGCACAACCACAGTGACGAACACCGTTCCACCTACGCCTGAAAGTGGAAAGTGAAATACACAGATTAGAGAACGATGACATCATAGAGAAAATACCTGAAGGCATGCCCACTGACTGGTGGTGATTGTTCCTAAGCGTGATGGTAACATTCGATTGTGTGTTGATATGCGGATAGCAAATACGGCTATCAAACGAACCAGACATCCAATACCAACTGTGGAATCTGTATCCATGGAACTCAATGGAGCACGTATATTTTCAAAGCTTGATCTTGCTCAAGCATACCACCAACTAGAGCTATGTCCAGCATCCCGCAGCATCACAACATTCTCAACTCATTGCGGTCTCTATCGTTATAAGCGATTAAACTATGGAACTAATGCCGCAGCTGAATTATTTCAACATAATCTGCAGGAAACATTGCTAGGAATTAAAGGGGTCAAGAACATTGCTGACGACATAATCGCATTTGGAAGTAATAGAGCAAACCATGACCGTGCACTGGATGAAGTTCTTACCCGATTACAAGATCACAATCTCACACTTAATTGCCAAAAGTGCAAGTTCCTGAAGAAGAACCTTGAGTTTTTTGGGTTATTATTCTCAGAACATGGGGTCTGCCCGGACCCAAAAAAGGTAGAAGCTTTCGTTAAAACTACAATACCCACAACGGTCAGCGAAGTGAGAAGCTTACTGGGGATGGAAAATTACAGCTCTAAGTTTATCCAAAATTATGCTTCCATTACGTAAGTGTGCGCACTTTGCATGGACGTGGGAACACCAAGCAGCTTATGACAAGTTAAAAAATGCAGTAACCAACAGTCCAGTTATGAGTCATTTTGATACATCAAAAGAAACGTCGGTATTAGTGGATGCAAGCCCAGTTGGCTTATCAGCCATATTAACACAAAGAGATCCTAAAACAAACGCCGATAACGTGATCTGCTATGCTAGTCGGGCTCTTTCGTCAGTAGAACAACGATATTCGCAAACTGAAAAGGAGGCCCTTGCTATCGTGTGGGGTATCGAACACTTTCACATCTACCTATTTGGGGCATCGTTCACCCTGATCACTGATCACAAACCATTACAACTTATCTATAATAATCCTCGGTCCAGACCTCCCGCCAGGATTGAGCGATGGTTATTGAGACTTCAACAATACAATTTTCAAGTCATTTACAGACCAGGTGACACGAACCCTGCAGACTTCTTATCCAGACACCCACAATTATAGACTCCCAAACGCAACATCGCCGAAGAATACATCACGTTTGTCACGACAAATGCAGCTCAAAATGCCACCATATCAATTGAAGTCATCAAAGAACATACGACCAAAGACATAAGTCTTCAGGCGGTAAGAACAGCGGTCGAGTCGGGTGATTGGAGCAATCAGTCTGTGAAACCATTTCTTAACATCAAAGATGAAATATCTGTGGACAACACGAATGGCATACTCCTACGAGGAACGCGGATTATCATTCCAACAACCGTAAAAACAAGCGTTGTGAAGCTGGCCCACGAAGGCCACCAAGGAATAGCCAAAGCTAAAGCTTTGTTACGCCAATACGCCTGGTTCCCTAATATGGAGAAGGCCGTCAAGGATGAAATTGAAGCCTGTCTACCATGTCAAGTAAATGGATCAACCAGCCCACCAGAACCATTAGCAAGTCCAGAAATGCCAGAGGGCCCTTGGCAAACCATCCATGCTGACTTCTATGGTCCGCTCCCTACTGGACAATATATCATCGTGCTGATCGATAAGTATTCGCGATACCCAGAAGCCGAAATAATCTCAAGTACCTCCGCCAAAGCACTGATCCCTGAAATAGATGCTATTTTTGCACGGCATGGAATCCCATTAAAGTTCAAATCTGACAACGGTCCACCGTTCAACAGTAAGGAATTCTCCAAATATCTACATAAACTTGGGGTGAAGCACGAGATATCAATCCCGGAGTGGCCGCAAGGAAACTCAGAGGCCGAGGCATTCATGAAGCCTTTAGCTAAAGCGATCAAAACAGCCCGTGCGGAACATCGCAATTGGACACAAGAACTTTCAAGATTCTTACTCAGCTATCGCACTACGCCTCATTGTTCAACCAATGTCCCACCAGCTCAACTACTATTTAACCGACCATTGAGAGGTATCCTACCAATGCTAAACCCCAAGGACAAAGTGCTAAATAGACATAAAGAGGCGCAGGCGAATGATTTTGAAGCGAAATCGAAAGGAAGAGAATTGGGAAACAAAAGAAGAAGAACTAAAGAATCAGATATCAGGGTGGGAGACAAAGTCCTCTTAAAACAAAGGAAGAAAGATAAATTCACAACAAAATTTGAGCAAACACCATACACAGTGATTTATCGTAGAGGAGCTAAAGTAGTCGCTGAGAACCATAACCATCAAATAACCAGAAACACATCGTTCTTTAAAAAGATAAGAGACAAGTCGAGAGAATCAACTGATGAAGATGAATACAACATCCACGAACAGCCGTACAGACACAACCAATGCGTACCAAAATGTGAAGAACCAGAACACATCATAGAACCAGAACCAGAAGAGCCAGCTCCAAGGAGATCAACCCGACAAAGAAAAATAACAGAACAATATGGGAACTCAATAAACCCTGACTTTGTTATCCGTTAAGTTGAGGAGTGATGTACTGTTGTAGACACGCCCCTTAAAAGTGACAAGGACATGTATATATATAGGAATGAGGAATGTTGTTGACAGACAGATATTAGAGAGCACAATAGATAGATACTAAAGGAAGAAGATAAATTCTAAACATTACAGTCGCTTTGTTGATGTAGTCTGATTTGTCCATGATTACAGTTTTGCGTCCTTTGTCGGCTGGTAGTATGACTATGTCTTCGTCGTTTCGTAAGTTTCTGATAGCTTTTTGTTCTTCGTTGTTAAGTGTGACTGGTCTTTTGAGGCAGAGGTTTGTCGTTACTTTGTGGCGAATGTCTTCTTTGATTTCATCATTTGAGTTGGTGAATTTCAGTGATGATTCTATATATATATATACAAAGTGTATAACAATGTGCCCTCCCGGCTATCACCATAGTAAAATGGTGACTCCTGCACTTGGGACACAGGACGTACGGTTATATATATATATATATATATATATATATATATATATGAACTAAAATAAAATGGACAATTGTTTGCTGTCGCTACTCGAAGTTTCACGCCGTAGGGCGATCTTCAGGCAACTGACAGATTATATTTTATTTGCTGACTATATACATCGACTAAAAGGTGTTAAGTTACATGACGGCATGCACTAAACTTTTGTTTGCTCCAAACAAAAACCAAAGAACCTGCCGTCTTTGCCTTGAAGAAAGGCTACTTATCCTGAAAGGACGTAAAAAGAACATTTTAAATAAACGTTCCGATATGTTTAGTGCATGCCGTCATGTAACTTAACACCTTTTAGTCGATGTATATAGTCAGCAAATAATAAATAATCTGTCACTTGCCTGAAGATCGCCCTACGGCGTGAAACTCCGAACACAATTGTCCATTTTATTTTAGTTCATTTTATCTTCTTCTAATATATAGAATATTGAGCGCTCTTTTATCCAGGAATATTATCCATAATAATATATATATATATATATATATATAGGAAGTTTATAATTTATGATTTTCCGTATAAAACAGTGCTTGATGCCCGAGAGCAGAGCGTAAATATGTGTAGTGGTGTTGAGAAAAATCACAAAACAACAGATTCATCCCGGATGAATCAGTCCCGGATGGTCACATTATGTTTTATGCTTTGCATCAATTACTATCATATACTTTCAGACAACATATCAATATAAGTTTTTTAAAGAAAAGATAAAAGAAATGGCTCAAGAGTATACCATTTACAAAAAAGTTTTAGAGAATTTGGTAACAGTTTTACAAAGTTATTTTAATGGAAAAGCAATCGTTTCAAATAAAGTATGCAGTTTTAATTGCTTTAGTAAATATGCTTTTTCTCAAAATCTGTTTATGGACAGTGCTGTAAAGATGAGTTGCAAATGAATTTGCAAGCATGTGAAAGACTGGCAAATGTATTGAAAAAGATTGCAAACAAAGATGAAAGTGAAATTTTGTATGAAGTCTTGTATTCATCTAATGAGAAACGCGCTATTTTGGGATGTGATTCAGATAATAAATTAATTTTAAAAACACAAAAGTCATCCCGTGTTGTGTATGAAAGTGGAACTGTTTATATAAATGATGATGATGATGATGATGATGATGAAGATTGCTTCAAACCGCCGATCTAAACAATATTGCAATGATTGATTGGACGGATGAATTTTACGAAATATATTCAGAAAAGATGACGATTTAAAAACTATATGACAAAAATTTCGACAATTTGTTGGATTTTGTCGTGATTTATTAAAAAGTGAAGAAGAAAAGAAAAACAAACTAAAGTAAAGGAAGCTAAACAAAAGTAAAAAAGAAATGTCTACAAAAACTGTGGCAGGCAAGCAAAAACGAAAAAAAGATATTGAAAATGGTAATGAAATTGACGCTATTTATGTATTGAAAGAGTTTTCTAATAAATTGGATATTTCAATATATGATTGCATTACTTATCATAGTGACTTGATGAATGAAATTTTAGAGGAAAAAATTGGAAAGAAACAGGATTTTGTAGAATTTTATAAAAAATATGGAAATGATAAAATTGAAAGAATATATAATGACATTTTTCTTTCAGTTCTTGATTTTCATTATCCTCCAACATTTGTGAATGATGATGATGAGAACGAAGAAGACTAATAATTTAATTAACGATGAATTAAAAAAGAGCTGAAAGATTATTAAAAGGTGAACATTTGGAAGATAATGAACAAAATATATATAATTTGTATCAAAAGAAAAGGAAAAAATTTAATCGTTTAAATATCAATGTATGAAAAAATAATTTATGGAGTATTGATTTAGCTGAAATGAAAGATTTGGAAAGATATGACAATTTGCATTATTTGTTATGTGTAGTTCACGTTTATTCAAGATATGGTTTTGTTCATTTATTGCAAAATAAATCTAGTAAAAATATTATGAAAAATTTTGAAGATATTTTATTGAGGGAAAATGAATTTCCTAAAAACTTAGTATCAGATGAGGGAACTGAATTTTTAGGGCTTCGAAAAGAAGTGTCAAAAAAGTATAATTTTAAAATTTAAAATACCTATAAGATATATACAAACAATAGCACAGATGATTAGAAGAACGATTGATTTGTTGCAAACAAGAAACGAAAAAAAATTGAAATTTATAAAAAATGCTTACATTTAATTGTAGAAAGATATAACGAATCTCCTCATTGCAGATTACTTTTTGACAATCTTTCACCATATGATGTCCATTTAGGTGGAAAAAAATAAATTACATTAAAAGATTATTTAATTTTTCATACAAAAAAAAGGATAAAAAATTAAATATATTAAAGAAAAATGATAAAGTGCAAATTTCAAGAATGAAAAATATTTTTGAAAAAGAAAGCTTAAGACAGCAAGATTTTTTATATAAATAAAGTTTTCTTGACGGATCCTGTTACTTATTAACTTTGTGATGACAACGGTGAAGAAATTCAGGGGAAATTTTATCGTGATGTATTAAAAAAGGTTTAAAAATGAAGAATATTACATTAATTAGTAATGTCAATAATAAAAAATGGTGAAAAAAACTATATTAATCATTTTACTACAACATTACCTGGTCAAATTGATGCATTAAATAATAACAAATACATAACTGTGTTAGATGTTTTTTTATACAAAAACAGCAAAAAATATTAATGAAGATGAATGCTGATGTGATTTAGAAATAAAATTTTCAAAATAGTTTATTCAAACGGATGTTACTACTAAATAAAAGTTTATATCCAATATTGAAGTTTAATCTACCAAGAATTAAAATATCATCGGGTATATATAACAATAAAACAATATACTGTTTTTGAATGATTATAAAAATGATTATATTTTTTCTATGAATAAATATGGTAAAAATGACATAATATTAACAAATGAATATAACACTGGAATGTCAAATTGATTAAAAAATGGAAATTAAACTACGGCCTGTTAAAATATCGCAAAATATCATACAACATACTTTATCTCAAATTTTTTTATATCCACAGATGGATATATTATACCCATTTAATTTAACAGGAATTAATAAAAATAATATTTTATATCGAATAGTGTTTAAAACCAAAAAACTTCAAAAAAGGTGGTATTACTTTAAATATTCATTCAGGAATTCCATTTAAATTTACTCATTTTACAAGTGAAAATGTACAAAAAGTCCCAGAGCTTGTTGAAGTACCTTAGGTGCAAAATTGTTTAACAAACAGTATAAGAAATTGCAATAGCAAACAAAATAATATTTCATATTAATTATTAAAACATAAAATTTTTTTTATATTTAAATGGAGGGTTATCTAAATTAGATGCTAGTGCTAATTTTAATTTGCAATCCTTGCAAATAATGGAATATGAAAAAGCCCCTTCGATTCTATTTTTAAAATTTGTAATATTTGGAGTATGCTTATCCAAGTAATAACTACATTACTAACAAAGAAATAGATATACTTCTTGATTTATAATTTGGAGAAAATAATGAATTAAGCTGTATTCTGTATCGATTTATTGTGCAGTTCCGTTGCCATTAGTCTGGCACTAAGTTTAATCCAAATATACCATAGATTCTTATACAGTGAATAAAAATTTACTTGTTGTCAATATTTGCAGTTTATGAGCATTTTGCCATGAAACATCAATAATTTTTGTTGCTGTGAAACTTAATTGCCGCCTATGTTTCTCTTGGTTCTTCATGCAACAAATACATATAGTACTAGTTCTAGTCTTTTAAATGTTTATTATTGGCACTGTTTCAGATTTCTATTGAACTAAAACAGTAAGTTAAATATGTATGTGTACTTGTTTGAAGCGGTAGATTTACTCTGTCATTATTGATAGAATATTTAGTATTGAGTCATGCTCATAAACTTACCTCAAAGGAGATAGTATGTACGTAGTTTCGTTTGCCAATATATCCGTTTACACATGGCTAATATCCAAGGAACACTTATTGTCGTTAGGTAAATTTCCTTATCTAATATATATAGAATAAATAGAGTAACTATTCTGACCAATGATAGTATTTTTTATTTGTAATGAATGCTATAAATATTGCACTGTAAAATAAAATCAGTTCGTTCATGAAGTTTACTTGTAGTTGTTACTAAAAGTGTATTTTGAAAAAAGATATCGCAAGTGACACAAACCCAACATTTTAGAAAAAATTATGTTTTCTCATCCTACGTTGAGGAAATGCATATATCTAGCCACAAACTCAAAATGCGGTTGAAACCAAATGATATCCTGTGCGTCAGATACTTTTATGTACTCTATCTGCTATTCCAGTGCTTGCGCTTAAATTCTTGCAATTTAATAAGTTTTTCTCAGTCAATATTCTACCTCCACAATGCTTGCTTGAAGGAAAACTGCAATATTCGGTATTCTCTGCTACAACTCAATTTGAAGATAGCTTTATGCAATTTCTTAAGAAGCAAATACTAGTAATCTACGGAAAATTAGTGAAAATAATGGGATCTTTGCCCT